GGGCATACAAACATGTTTTGCACCCTAATTATGTTACATGGGCATGGATTTTTTTTTTTTTGGGAGAACGTTGACTTTTGGAAAGGGGTCTGACAGAGTTCTGTACTTCTATTCAAGATGTAATCTTCCTCTGCATGTGCGCATGCAGCATGTGTGATCTTCCTATAGTGTGTGCGTTTGTGTGTATACACACATACAGACATGCACACACACACATCACATTATGCATATAGACACTTCAATGAACGAGACATACTTTTTTTAAGTAGTTTTGTCCTGAACATATTCCCCATTCATTGAATACCATGTAAACCTGTCCATCCATTCTGTCTTTTAAGGCTTTTTTTCACAGATCCAATAGATCCTCACTGGAGACACAATTGCTTCTTTTGCTCCTTCATTACCTGATGCCATTTTTGATAGGGGAGTATCAATGAATGATTACAAACCATGATTCTTTATGAAAAAAAAATATCGCTTATGAATTAGGAGTCTTAAATGAGAATTAAATCTTGAAGACTGGCCAAAGAAAAGATCCTTTACGCCTCATTTGAGTGTTTTCCTAAACATAAAGGCTCCTGAGTCCATTACTCCTCAAGTGACAGCCTAAAATTAGTCATGGGGTTTTGCTATAAATATTTGACTTCTACTGTGTGTGATGCTTTTTCTTTTGATGGATATACTTGGCCGTTCCATTTTGTTGCTTTAAATCTATTTATTTTGTTTAGGGAATCGCTTCTTGCACCTAGTTTTTCATTTTCCGAACACTTTTTGTTCTGAACATTGTACATGGCTGGAAATTGTCATCAGATTTTGTTTTTGATGTTCCCACTCATTTTCTAGGCCAACATTGAAAGCATGGGTGCAATAGAAATTCCCCTTATTTATGTTGTGGTTATTGTTTGTTGTTGTTGTTGTTGTTTGTTCTTTTTCTTCTTCTTCTTCTCTTTTTGTTAATAATAATAATAATAATAATAATAATAACAAGAATAATAATTTCGTATTTTTATTTTATTTGATTTCTTTAGCTTATTATTATTTTATTTTTAATCAAAAACAACCTTGATAGAATGCTAGTTCTACACCTCATCATGCACATTTTGATGGGGCAGGTTATAAACAATATGTTTTACAGGTGGGGGTTGTGATCTAAAAAATTGGATTCATAAATTAGCCCCGTTATTGTTGTTGCCCAATAGATGAAAGTGTATCACAACAGAAATTTTACTTTGGACTTTGTGCGTAAACAACGACACATCCTCAACCACTCGATTTTAAATCTAATGATCAATGATGATTGTGACCCCCTTGTATTGTTTATATAAAATAGTTAGTTCAAATAATTAAAATGTTGAAGTATGTCAGGAGAAAACAATTTTTCCTCTCTATTAGTTTTTCGTAGTTTTTTACTGAAAGTTGTATAATTTATTTGAGAAAAGCCAACACAGTCAACCTGGTATAACTTTCCCAAGAAACCAGAGGTCTCACTCTGTGAATTGCCTGGTTTAGAGTTCTCAACTGGCTGCTTCAGGGGGCACCCCATTTTCTGGTTCAGGGGGCACCCCAATGCTGTGACAGCCATTCCATCGGTCACGATCTTGGCAGTTTTATGTGAATAACACCCTCTTTTTTATGCCTTCCCTGAATGGTTTTAAATAATATCGCATAACACCCATTATAAGATTCATGACCTGTGTCAATCAAGGCCTGGGCTTAATGGTAAGACACTATTTTTATTGTGAGAGGTTTGAGTTCTTTGGTTTAAACATTAAACCTTTCTCTTGCAATTTAAACTGACCTAGACCGAATAAAGAAAAGAAGGATATAATTGTAAAACTGTGGCCCCTGGCCTTTTCAATGGTGTATCACCATTTCTGAACATTGGTCCCAAAACTCAACTGTTTCAGTGTTATTTGGCAATAGATCTTGGACCAGGCTTGGTTTGTAAATTTGGCATTTGTGAAGCTTTCCCTGGTACGTCTGAGAATTTACCCTGTTCAGATCCTAAACCCGAATTTCGGATCATATTTGGATCGGGGTATGGATCCAAGATTTGGATCCGACGGGTTGGATCCGGGTACAGGTGGATCCGATTATGATCTGACCCAGTTATTAATATATTATATGTATATGTTATATTCTTTTGTTATATATTACTTTATAAATATGAAATAATATATTAAATAATTTTTGGATCTGATTGGATCCGGATCCAGATCTGGATCCCATGTATACTATTTGGATCTGAATCCACATCATTATTAATTTAACACCTCATCCTTAATGATTTGGCTATAGATTCTTGCACTTATTTTTTGCAATTTCTGGAAAAGTTAAGTGACTCTTGGTTTTGTATCCAGACAGGTGGTGTCTTTGTGGACTTGCTCTAAGATATGCGCGATCAGCTTCACTGTAGGTGTCGTATTTGGATTCACACTAAAGCGACGGTTAAGAAGATGGGCTACCAAGTTGCTCAAGAAATTCAAGGACGACTGAGATTGCAACGTGTACAGCCAAGATCGATCCAGGTTCTTTAACTATCCAACAAATAGAGAATAGCAATTTTGATTTCTAAGCCTAAGGGCTGTAAGTTCCAGTCTTATATTCCCTTTTTTATTTGTTAATTTATAGTAATGTTACTGTATTGCTTCTTTTCAAGTGAGACTTTGTGTTCTTGGATTCTTCCTGTTATTTTATTCTTTCCTTTCCACTTTAATAATAACATATGAGAAATAGCTGAAAATGACGTGGAGGTAAAATGGGTTTGAGGGGTTGGCTAAAGTTCTCAATGGGGCCCACTTAAATGATGGAGAAGCATCCAATGTAAGTTTGCCTGGGGTCAATGTTCCCCATTCATCAGAATGTCTGAATTGAAATTTCCAAAAAGTTGACAAACGAGGCCAATCATACCCATTTCCTAACAAATTTTGATGGTTAATAATTGGGGTTCAACTACATGTTTATGCATGCAGCACGCATGCATCTATATGTATGATTCTGTTTTATTTATTTTACCACCATTGTTAAGGTTGGTGGAAAATGAAACTCCACTTCAAAACCATGTTAGGGGCATTTGTTTGACTCCAAATTTTTTCTCAACCATGATTTTTTAGGAGAGTGATCTCATTATATTATATTATATTATATATATATATATATATATATATATATATATAGTAAGATAGCGTAGGTACGTACCTACTAGTACTTAGTAAGTAATATTAGTACTACTACGACCTAACTA